TGGTGGACTGCACTTTCTATTGAAATATTTATGTATGTAAGTGAAGAAATTAGATCAGTATTTTCTGTGATTGAAGGATGTGATTCATTAAAAACTAAGGAGAAAATTTGACAAAAAATAATCTCGGTGGGATTGTCCAAAAGGCACAACTTTGGATGAGTTGTACTCCCACTGAATTGAAACCTGAATTCCCACTCCCACTGAATTCTTGTTGCTAGTTCCTGAAGAAGCTGTTTGGGGCCAGTGCTGAAAATTTTGGAAACCTTCCCCTGTGAGCAAGGGGTTTTGGTTAAGAAATACGTATTGTTAAATGAGTTTGCAGGTAACATAGGAGTTGAGCTCCCTGATCCTCCTTTAGAGGTAACTTCCATAGGATCAGCTTTGATTGATGATTTTGTACTCTTAAATGAAGGCAGTGGGATAGCCAAGAATGCATGGGGCTGCCTCCCCAGCACATTCAGTTCTGCCCCATCTCTATCCTGCAGTGCCATCATTCACACTTGCTTGTAAAGATTTCTTCAGCTGATCAGATACTGAGCAGCAGCTAGTATTACTTGGTCATGGGTATAAATTGTCTGGAGATGTCCAAACTGATAGATCTCAAATCCACATTTCCATGTAATGGCTGACACTTCATTTGAGAGCTTACCCTGTCAGGCTGCACATCTCTCCCTCTGTGGGTGTATTTTATCTGGAAGCTGCTGTGATCTCCCCTTACATGTAATAGACCATTCTGCCAATGACTCTTAATTCTTACATCCAACACCTCTAGTTTCTTACTCCCACTTCCCCCCTATTTTCTTTCCTTCCCTATTCTCAGGAGGAGCATTTTCTAGCTGTTAAAGCACAGGACTGAAAAATCAATGACTCCGTGTTCTTTCCTCCTCCAGTATCTCATTTTGTTTTTTGCCCAAGATTTTTAAATGTTCTGCACCTCACATTCCTCCTCTGTAAAATGAAGGTCACTGTCATGTATCATAAATATCTTGCAATAATACTGGGGGACTTTAATACTTGAAAAGTGATTTCAGATCCTTCCTCAGAGGCATGGTGGTGCTCTCACCATGTAAAGAGTATTACATCACCCTGGGACCTGCATTAAGGGATGTCATGTACAGTTGAGAAGTTCAGCCTTTTCTTTATAATTTCCCAGACTGAATAAAAGAAAGCTTTCAGCAAGAAAAATTAGGAATCAGATAAATTGTCCTTCTGGTACATATGATCTTTGACTAAACTAATTTTTGAAGTGTTTATGGGTTACTTAGAATTGGGCAGTTACAGCTCTTCATTTCCAGAGGTGTTACAAGGTGCTTCTATAATGTGGCATCAGGTAAAATGCAGAGATCAACAGGCTATTGTATGCTGAGCTAGATAAACCATCAGTCATTTTCATGTGTGTACATGGTCTATATAAGTGTCTTTAGAACCCCAGCTGCTGCAGATCTTTCTGTTTACTTCACACAATCCAGATTATAAATGCTCCTACTTAAAAACAAATCATTATCAGTGGTTGATATAAGTCAGCAATTCTGTAGCAGCCCTCAAGTACTTGGAAAGATACCTTCATGGTATTGAAAAATCAATTGGAAATCTCCTTCAGAATGTACAGATCTCAGCATGTAAGACAACCACGTAACAGTGTGGTGAGTTGGTGTAGGATGCACAGAAGACAAAACTGGCCATATGGTAAAGGCTTTCTAATGAGGCTTTGGATGCTATTTTCATTGCTCCAAGCAACTCTCTGCAATAAAATACTGTGGACTTTGTGCAGGGTAACCTCATTAAATATATGAATATATCTCTGAAATGGGATTTTTTTTCTCCTGTTTTATCTACTTAAGGTTTTAGCAAGGCCATTCTGCCTTTAGGCTGAACTGCCATCAATTTCTCCTGCAGATTTTTATGCAAATTTTAACTTCAACTGCCTTTTGATGGACCATTTTAAATTCTGAAAACTGCTTTAAAATAAATTACATCTTGTCCTTCTGAGATAACCAATGATCTAAAATATATTCTCTGCCAACTACAACCCTGCCTTCCTTTTTATCTCAAATCCAATTCAAAAACCCAAAAAGTCACAGAAAACTCCTATTAGCCCAAAATACATTAACATCTATAATTCTTGAGTCAGATACTGGGATGAGTTGCATTTTAGTTTGTATGGGAAACTAAGTCTGCAAGAGATTTGAGAAAAGCACTAATACACTGCTAAGTGCTTATTACCCTAAGGTAAAACCTCTCCATACAAAGATTTTACCATGATGAACAATGTAGTGTTCTACTTTTTTTGTTTGTTTGTTTTTGGTTGGTTGTGGGTTTTTGTTGGTTTTTTTTTGTTTGTTTGTTTGTGGGGTGTTTTCTGGGGAGGATGAGCTGAAAGATTCCTAGGGTAAGTTTACACTTCTCTATTTTTTTTTTTTTTTTTTTAATCACAGAAAGTGCCATTTTTGCCACAAGAAAAATAGAGTTTATAGCACCACCTGTCCTTCAGACAGAGGTCTTATTTTTACCTGCACTCCTGAGCTGAGGAGCTGCTCTATACCAGAGACAATTTCAGCAATTACAGAGCTATATGAATGATATATGAATGCAGCCCAGCTGCATGTTTGCTTGCAGCATTCACTGCAAACCATCAGCGGCTGCACTCCCACCCCCTCTTTTTTGTTTTTTCCAATCTCATTGCAAAGCTGGAAAGATCCTCCAAACTGATCAGGTGAAATCCAGGTGACCTCTCCTGTGAAGGCTGACAGTTCAAAAGTGGTGTTTCCTCTTCCTAAAGTTCCAAGGACTACCCAAGGCAGCAGACTGGTGGGAAAGCTTTTTGTAATGGGTGCTCTTCCTTTCCTCCAAAAAGAGCAGCAGCCATTTCCACTGCTATGCAGAAAGCCTTTTACTGCTGTGTTCAGCTACACCCACTCCCCCTTACACACACAAACCTGACGAGTTCATGCCTCTTTAGCACCATGACAAGCTGCATGCACTAAAAAAAAAAAAAAAAACAACATTTGCATCATGATAAAATGGGAAAAGTACAGAACTGAAACTTTTCTCTCAGAAATGTGTGCCCCCATGTATTACTACCATGTTACTGGTGCAGGAAATCCTGTGTCACCTCAGCTGTGCAGGATGCTACATGAGAAAAGCATCATGCTGTGGCAACAAGGCTCTCTAGGATCAAGGGAGCCCTCTTTTCTGGCTGGGAACATCTGCCATGGCTTGACAAGTTACTTGATCTTGCAATGTGCCTTGATTGCAGATCTCTAAAATGGGGGGAAATAGAATTTTGCTACTTCCTGGGGATTTTTGGTTGGGTTAGCACCACTGTAGGGTTGCCACAGTGCTCAGAAATTGGGAGATAACACCTTTATCATTCTTAGACCCCTTTATTTCTCCTCATATAAAGCTCTCTCAGAGCAGCAGCATAAGCTACCAATGGACCCCATTAGAAAACACATCTGTATGAAATTTAGCAGCATCCCTGATGCTGTTCTTGATGCCAGGGAGAGAGCAAAAAGATGTAGTGATCACTGTGACAGTGGAGATGCCTACCTAGCTTCAGAGAGGGAATGACAGTAGGACTGTAAACTTGGGAGATGCATTTCTGGACACACTATGTGGCTACTTCTTAAAAGGACAAGAAGTAAATTCAGGACAAGGAATGCATGTGAAAGCTACTGGTATCTGGATCACAGTTTTGGGTGTGAACACCAAAATACCAGTTACAAGCCTCAAGTGCAACACCCCCACACACACATACCAAAGCAGGGGAGAAGATGGAGTAGTGGGGTAAAGAGAAACAAGGACAGATTCCAGTTGACCATGCTGACAGCTGGTGTGTCTTTATAAAAAGGAATTTCTGCTGAAACCAGAAAGGAATTTTGGGTTCATACCCCTTTGCTATCCTAACTAGTGCACTCTTAGCTGTGCTGGGTCCCTGCCCAGAGAAGGAAAAAAAGAGTGCATCAATCCTGAATACTGATGAAAGCCAGCCCACACCAAAGCCAGAGTGTCCCAGGTACCATCCCTGCGTCAGGCTGCCCAGAACCCTCTGCCTGACCCACCCATTTTAACTTTACCAGGAACTTTCCCTGGCTACACTATTAAATACCCTTCCCATAAACGCTGCTGCTCGCTGGCTGTCACACGGCCCAGCCACAGGCTCGGAGCACACAGTCACACAGGGATGGGATCGTTCAGGGTGGGAAAGGCCTCTAAGATCATCGATTCCACCCCTTATCCCAGCATTGCCAGGGCCATCACATCACCCCGTCCTTAACCCTTAAGTGCCACATCTACGTGGTTTTGTGAACACTCTAGGGATGGTGATCCCACTTTCCCCGGGCAGCCTGTTCCAATGCTTAACCACTCTTTCCAAAAAGAAATTTCCCCAATATCCGATCTAAACTGTCTCTGGCACAACTTGAGACCTTTTCCTCTCGCCCTGTCGCTCATTTCCATGGAAGCAAAGCCCTGACGTGGTTAAGCCCCGCACCCCGAGGAAGTTTGACACAGCAGAGTCGCTTCCTCCCAGACACCACCGCACCCTTGAGGGCACCTGTTCAACACCTGCAGGAAGGTTTTGACTCCATTGTCCCGCAACCCGGTGTGCCTAAGGGGTGCTTGCCAGCGATAAACCCCACCAGCCGCTGCCATTTTCCGGTTTTAGACACGCGTGTGTGTCTGAAATCCCAGGATTTTACTGCCTGGCGCCTGCAATCCAGGCAGAGGAGCCACGGCAAGAATGGAAGGGCTGCGGGGGAAAGGGACCCGTGGCTATTTCTGCACGTCCTCGCCCTCGGGTGAGATATTCCCTCCCGAGTCAGAGTAGCTCCATCAGCCACGGGTGCTGCAGCCCACGCCCACGATTTTGGGGTGATTCGGGAGGTTTTTTGTCACTCTTGAGCTCGCCGCCCGCGGGGCGGAACTCTGTGTCCGGGGCAGCACGGAAGGTTTGCAGCGGCGGACGCAGCGGGGCCGGAAGGCGGCGGCGGCTCCGCCGGGGTGGCGGCATGGCGGGCTGGGGGCGGCTGGCCCGGCTCGGCGGGCGCCTTTGGGCGGCGGCGGCGCCGGCTCCCGCTCCCGGACACAGGTAGCGCTACGGCTGGGAGGGGAAGAGGCTGCTCCGGGGGACGGGAGGGAAAGAAGAAGCGGCAGGAACAGCGGGGAGCAGAGCGTGGCTCGGCCCCTGTCGCAGCCCCGAGGTCGTTGAATGGTAGAATGGCCTGGGTTGGAGGGGGACCTTGAAGGTAATCTAGTTCCACCCCCCTGCTGTGGGAAGGGACGCCTTCTGCTAGACCAGGTTGCTCAGAGCTGCATCCAGCGTGGCCTTGAACGTTGCCAAGCATCCACAGCTTCTCTGGGCAGCTTCACGCTCACAGCAAAGAATTTATTCCTAATATCTAATCTAAGCCTACTGTCTTTTAGTTTGAACCCACTCCCCCTTGTCCTGTCACTACAGGCTCTTGTAAGTAGTTTTGCCTCGTCCTTCCTGTAAGTTCCCTTCAGGTGCTGGAAGGTGAGGGGCACCTGAGCCGCTCTTTCCCTCGGCCCGGGGCCTCTCCCGCCCCTGGGCGCCGCCCTTTGGAGAGAGAGGCCTCTGTGTGCAGCTACTGGCAGCCCTGGAAGCTTTGTTCGGGGTGCCAGGGTTACTGCTGGGGCATTCCAGCCTTAGAAATAGCCCCGGCCTGCGAGGGAGTTAGGCAGGACAGGCGTGTTCGCGTCCAAAGTGTCTTTGGAGCATAGTGAGCGACTTGACCTGCCGTGTTTGGGGTCACCTTGGCCCGCTGGCCACGTGCATGCACTGCCTGTACTATTAAATACTCCTTTGTTGACGTTGCAGAGGATTAGGGAGCAATCAAGCCTTTTTCAGCCCTCATAACATTTATGGCAGGACACTGAGCTGTTCAGCAGTGTTTGTAGAATCACAGAGTTGTTGGGGCTGGAAGGGAGCTGAGGAGCCAAGTTCTAAGCTGAGGTCTCAGTTCTTTCTCACAGTGCGACCAGCCCTGAAGTCAGACTGCGGTGCTCAGGGCTTTGTGGTTGTGGGTCTTGAAAGCCTCTAAGGACTGAAACTGCACAGTCCCTCTAGACCCCAGTGCCAGTGTTAGATTGTCTTCAGGCTGAACATTTTTTTTTACTTAGGTCAAATCCGAACCCCCCTCTTCAGCTTGTAGCTCTTCTCTCACTCTCCTGGTGTGCACCTTGTGACATGGCCTGCCTCAGCCTTGTCGGTAGCTTTCTCATAAATTATTCCATGCCACTTGTGCACGGGACTATGCATTTCTGCTTTATGGATCTCACTGGGTTCCTCTGGCTAGCAGAGGGACACCTCTGGGCATCATCCACTGCTCCCTTCAAACTTAAGAACAGTGTATTCATCCCCTGTCAGAGGCCACTGAAAAAGATATTGAACAGGACAAGTTCCTGAATAGACTCTTGGGGAGCTCTGCTTGTAACTGGCCTTCTAGTAGAGTCCAAACCATCAGCTGTGACTCCTTCAGCTGACAATCCAGACAGGTCTTTTCTCAGCTGATGGCCCACCCATCCATGCCATAACATCCCATCTTGGACAGAAGGATGCCACCAGAGTTTGTTTTAAAACGTCTTGCTAAAGTTAAAGTAAACAGTAACTACTGTAATCTCTTTGTTCATGGATCTGGCTGGGGTTTTTTATCTTAAAATGAGTAGTTGGTTGGTTTGTTGTTGCTCGCTCTCCTTTGGTATAATTCAGAATACTTAGTCAAATGACAGATAATCAGGTGTTTTATAAATTAGATGTAACATACATGTTATGAGACACTTTTTGTACTGATAAGACACTCAAAACCTTTTCCCACCTCTGGAAAGGGGTCAGCTGGGCTTTGTAGTCAGACACATCAACAGTTCAACATGGTGGCACGAGCATCTTTCTGAAGAGAATGTGGAGTTCCTCAAGAAGATAACTGCAGAGGAGTACAAAGCTCAGACAGCCAGCAAGCTGTGCCCTCTGAAAGATGAGCCATGGCCACTGAATAAGTGGACACCAGGTGAGAAAGCATCACTTCTGAAATACTTGTTCATGCTGAAATTAATACTGTTGTTGTGTTGTTGAATTCAGTAATGTCAGGATTGTGTCTTGTGAGGTATTCTCCTTTTGGCTTTCACATCAATCACTCAATAAATCTCCTGGTTGATAAGTAAATGTAATACATTAGTTCTCTAAAACACATTTAAAATATTACAAGATGTTAAGAATCTTTAAAAAACTTCTAGTTCTTAAGGATAGTTTTTAGTTCAGCTCTTGGCCCATCCCACTGCTGTACAACAAGAAGATAATAAATTAAGAATTTGTCAAAAAAGTCTCCTTAGAGTATAAAGTGTATGAACTTGTAAATGTTTTTGTTAATATTGCTGGGCTCTGAAGAAAAAGTGAAATATAATACATCCCACTTCTGGTCTGTGATTACAATTTCTTATGGCCTAGAATACAGAATTAAGTCTTTGAGCTTTCAGAAGGGTCACATCATTTGTGTGGCATACTTGACAGGTTGCCATTGCAGAGATTGGGGTGGGAAGAACCTCCTACAGCAAACTTTTCAATAGTTAGTTTAGCTCTAATACATTGGCCCTGTATTTTGGAAAAGAAAAACAAACCAAAAGTAGTTGCATTTTCTATCAAACACAACTGAAACAGGTAGAACTTTACTGCTGGTGGGGTTAAAAACCCCCAGCATACCTGCAAGGATTTAGTGATGTTTTCTTTCCTTCACCTCCTTAGAAAAGATAAGAATTCATGGGACTTTGCAGATTATTATTTGACCTCTTTCATTTATTAAGTGTGAAGGTGCATCCATGTTCTGTTTGATCTACAGATTCCATCAGAGTTGGTGTTGTTGCAGTAAAACTGGGAATGATGCCGATATGGACCAAATCAGGAGAAAAACATGCTGTCACACTACTTAAGGTGAAATAAACCATAATGAATTTAATCTCCTATACTGTATTCCATTTGTAAACCAGCTGTTTCAAGGAAAAGTGAAACTTACTACTTGTACAGGGTGGGAAATCCTGAAAGAAAGTGAAAATTTCTTTCACTCCGATATAATACACCATGCCCCTTCTGTTTATATCCATACTCTTTAGAAGTGCTCTGCCCTGCTGCCTCAGCTATTCAAATGCTGCAGAGCTGTGAGTGGTGTTACCTAGGTGATGCAACAAAGCTGGGGTTAACTATCCCACTTCACTTCTTTTCTTTTTCCACCCGTGGGCATGTTTGGATTGCTTTAACCTTGGTCTCTGTGCCCTTGTAGCCCTGAAGCTGCTTCTTCATATTCTCTGGCAGCTGCTCTTGTGATGAAGCCTTTTGCTGACTGGCTGCTGCCACAAGAGGAGCCACTGCTGTGAAGGCCATCAGGTTTACAGGGCAAGGCAGCAGGAGTCTAAAATGGGGGCTCTTATTGTGTGCTTTGAATACTTAAAACAGGGATTTTGCAGATCTTGTGTGAAAAGGGTGATTATAATTTCTAGAGCATTTATGAAATTAGTTCACATTCTACTATTTTTTTTTTCTGAAATAAGCCTTCAGTTCATTGGAAAAGCAATGTCAGTGGTAAAAACACAACACACTGTCTTACTTTTAGACTGTATCTTCTGTTACAAAAACAGAGACTGACTTTGGTGTTTTGTTGTCTTAATGTATACACATCTGCTTATGCTCAGATGAACACTTTTTCTTTTCTCTAGGTCCAAGATTGCCATGTTTTAAGATATGTTTCAAAGGAAGAGTCGGGTGGAAAAACAGCTAAGCTGCTTGTTGGAGGCAAAAATGTATCTCCTTTTTCTGTAAGTGAAACACTTTGGGTGTCACTGTTGGAAGAGTTGTTTCTGTTGTGATTACAATACAAAAGTAGCAGAAGTAGACTTCTCTGAAAGATTTCTTGGCATACAAGCCTGCTTTGTAATTGATCTTTTGTCACATTCACCTTTGTCATTTGCTAAAGCGAGTGTAAATTCTTGGTTAAGAGAATAGCAAGAGGAACTTTTTGAAAGTTTTACCTCTTAATTTTCTAGGAAGGCTGTGGGTTTAGGAATTTGCTTTGATGTGTGGTGTCCCATGCTGGTGAAAGTGTTTGAAGGACCACTAGCAGTGGAGAAATGTGTTTTCTTTGTGTCTGTGGACATGCAGTTGAGCTGAGGACTGCAAGATACTTCACTTATATACTAATACACTTCAGGAGCCTTTTGTAAACTTACTCAGCTCCATCAGTTGTTTACAACTTAGTGCTCTGGCTTACTCTTCTGTACTGTCTTTTTAGCTGTAGTTCTAATTTTTTCCTAGGTCTGTTGACGTTGTTTAGTTTGCCATTTGTTCTGCTGCTAAGTAACTTTAAGACTTACCTTTTCAGAAAGATAGCTTCATGATTGTAGCTCATCAACAGCCATATCAAAGCCACTCACTTCTTTAGACATCCCAGTTGCTTTATGTGGAATTCCCAGGTATCTCTAGTGGCTGAGGTTGTCTGGCAGAGCTGTCATTCCCCAGGATGAGTTACAGATCAAGCAGGAACAAAGCATTCCCTCAAAGGATGTTTCTGTGATGTATTATTCCTGTAAAATATAATTTTTCAATTCTTGCAATATCCTGACACTCATTTGTCTGATTTGGGCAAGTAAAAAAATCCCAGGGCTCACGACTACTAAGCAGATTATTTCAGTTCATGATCATGGCTTTTTGAGAGCATAGATTTCCATTTTTCAAACAGATGATTATCCCAAGGCCTCAGAATTATTCTGTGCACTTGTTTCTGCTTTAGTGGAGGTAAGAGAAGAAGGACCTTTTTTCATTTGATAGATCTGTTGTCTTTTTTTAGTATATTCTGCTGATTTTGAACAGGCTTATACTTCAGGGTACCATTCATTTATTCAGTTGGTTTATGCCATGTTTGACTAGCACAGCTTTCACTCTTCAGGTGTCTATTGTGTCACTTCAGTCCATTTCTACTTTCCAGGTATGACATTTTCCTGGAAAAATGACAGCTGTGTTTTTTTCTTTCCTTACTTTGGTCTAAGACATGCAAGAGTCATGGGAATAATGTTTTCAAGTTGTATTTTGCCTATTAAACTCCTTAGAGTTGATCTTTTCATTAAGATCATGTTACCAGTAAATCCAGTATGTTATCAGAGTAAAATCATGCCAGAAGTAAGGAGGTATGAAGAAAACTTCTTTTTAAACAGCTCCTATGAAAATTTCTTCAAAGCAGAACTATGTAAAAAGTCAACTCAAGGACTTATTAGTAGTGTGAGTTATGTTAAAGACTTTGTTTGTGCATAACTTTTCCCAAGTTAGCTTCTATTAATTTGGTTGAACTTAGACTCATTTTAATAAAGAAATTAATTAAATATTCTTTAAACAGTCTTTGGTGAGGTCCTGGCCTGAGACTGAACTGTGTATCATCATCATTATTATTATTACTATTATTACTATTATTATTATACTGAGCTCTGTATTATTATTTTTGACATTGTATAAACTAGATAATTCCTAAGGAAGAATTTGGCATGCTGATTCTGGGCAGATTTAGTTGTTAAGGTGCTAAGAAGTGATGTATTTCTGTGATTTAGCTGCAAGTTTGGATCATTGTTGTCCTATGTTTCTCAGCTTTTTTATGTGTTTCTTTTCTCTCAGAAGTGTCAGAAGTGAGATATAAAAGAAAGCTGAATGATACTGTCTTGTATTAGCATAAGCAATTTCTCTTTTGTTAATTCCTCATAGGAAAATCTCTTTCTCAGATTCCACACATCTACTAGTTTTTAATGAGTTCAATCAAAAGATTCCTTCAGTAATATTTCTAACAAAGAATTTCCTGTATTTCTTTGGAGTGTCAAATTGCTTTAAAACTGATAAGGGGTATTGCATTTTTAGCAAGATTAATTTTTCCTTCTTAGCTTGATGTATGTCACTCTGTTATAAGTGAACAGATTTTTCATGATTTTTTAATGCACAGTTATGCTCAAAAGTAAGTTCTGCCAATGCTCAGACTTTTTTTTTTGTCAAAAATATTTTATATGCTTGCTATAAGTGAGGGTGTATTGACCATTTTCCTATAATACTGGAAGGTATTGTTGGTTTTTTGAAAAATAAGGAACATCTGAGAATTCACTCAGTGTTCCCCTCTTCAATATTGCTTTTTAGGAAGGGTTTGTAAAGACTGAAGTGTTTTGTTTGTAAAAATATATCTCTGACATGGCTGTTTGAAGAGGAGGTGCTGTTACAGTAGAACAGTGCAAGGCTACAGCCTAGAGTAGGACTCTTGAGATACAAGTGAATTTTGCCCTTTGACTTCAACTTGCTTTTCTTCAGCTGTGGTTTCTCTTTCCAGCCACCCATGCTGAGCACTGGGCTCCCCTTGCTGTAGCTTAAGGCAGCAGTTTTACATAACTGGAAATAAAGGATTGATATACAGGCACTTAGTAGGGATTCCATATCTTTATTTTTCATTCTCACATAGAGTTCTGCAGATTAGTACAGGTGCTCCACTGATCCCTCAAATATTGGTGGCCTTAGGAGAGATTTTGTATGTAGTTGATTCTGGTTTTTTAAAGGTATATGAAGTATTTTGTACTGTGACCTCAAGTTAACAAATCTCTTGGGAAACATTTTTCACTCTCAAAGACAGATTTCATAAACTTAAAATTTCTGGGTTTTTTTTCTAAATCAGAGGTCCTCATCATCTTGCTTCCTCATTCTTCATAAAACTTCCTCTGTTCTAACACCTTTCAGAAAGAAAGGGCGACATGCAGATTTTCAAAACTGTTGCCAAGTACACTAACTAATATTTTTTAAATTGTCCGCATTACTTGCTCTTAAAATACACAAAATAATTTTTGAGAGAGAGGGAACTGCAGAGGAGTTTTGAGAAGCAGACCTCAGAGATGAGATTATCCAAGTGTGACAGTATTGTTAGATGCTTAAATTGCTTTCTACCAGAAATCATTTGAAGGAAAATCAGCTGTATCTCTTTCTTTTTTTCCCTGTGACCACAATTTTCCTGCGTCACTGTTTCTGTTGCTTGGTTTTGTCTCAGTGATCTGCTGTTCTGTGAGATGTCTTGCTTAAAACAGCTGAGAATAATTTAAAGTACTTTAAATGTGTCAGACTCATCTGAAAGCAAAATCTCTGCTTTAGTAGGTCAGCAGTGGTTTGACACTGAGTGTACTTGCTATATCTTAAAAATGTGTGGATCATAAACTCGTTGTTACTAATTTTTCTTTTTTTTGCCCAGAGACTCAAAATTTTCTTCTGTGGAAATTTAAGCATTTCTAGAAGTTTCTGCAAGACAAGAATTTTTTTCTATGGTTTTGTTAGTTAAATAAATTACATTTATCATTTGGTGTGGAACTAAGTCATCAGAAGCTTTGAAAAAGAGAAACTACTTCTAAATTACTACAAAACTCCTTGTCAGCCATGAAAAAAAAAATAGCATCTGTCATCAACATTCTAAATTATTAGTTTCCCTCTTCAGATTTTCAATATCCTCATATATCTCATTTATATTAGGTAGCTGTAGGGTAACTACTTGACAGAAAATAAAAGGCAGGCATTTATTTATTTTTAAATAAACTTTATGTAGAGAGAAAATGCAAGCCTGAAGATGAAATTTTAGTATGATGTATCTGTTTCTCCGAGTGATGTTGACAGTCTGTAATAGTTTTCTGTGCTAGGTTGATTCTTGGGTATTTTAAGATGACTTTTTTTTTATGGCTGCTTTTTGTTGCAGAAACCAGAGTCTGCACATGAAATTTTTAGAGAAGCTGGAGTGCCACGGAAGCAGAAAGTTACAACATTTAATGTAACAGATGATGCCATAATTAAGCCAGGTAATTTTTTTGAGCTACTGAGTATTATGTGCTTAGTCATTTAGCAGTCATCTGCCACTTGTAGACCTAAATGAAGTTATGATGTGTATTTCAGTGTTGTTTTTTATAGAAAGTGCTGAATTTTTTGTCATTAAGCACAAGCAAACTTTTTGCATAGGGAAAATCAGAAGATGGGTTTTGGTTGATGAGATATAGGATTTTTTGCCTTTTCCAGGATACTATGTTTCCACCTATGAGAAAATAAATCCAATCCAAATTTACACTGAACATTGAGTTAAGAAGTAAATGTCTGTAACCTTGACTCACTTATTGGGCATAAATATGGATACAGTTCCAGGAAGTTCTTTGTTTATCCTTATGAGAGGATAAACACACAGTTTTGTGGTAATATTTCTCAGGACCCTGAAATAGCAGTTGAAATTTTGTTTCTTCTTGCTGCATTCAAAAGTTGGACGAAGGCTGCTTTTTCTGTTTTACAGCTTGCAAAGTAAAACACACTAAATCATGTTTATAACAAACATTCTCACTAAAAATCAGTATTGGAAGTTTGGTGATCAAATGAAAAGTTTAACATCTCTGAGGTTTTATTAGGTAGTGTATTTAGGTTATGTTTGTTTTGTGGTTTTTGGCAGTTACAGGTATTTTCTGAAGAATTATATAGGGTAGGAAATTCTACTGTTTTGCATCTTCGTTGCCATTAGTGGAGCTTTTTGCAAGACCTATTTAAGACTGCAGTAACTGATAAAAATCAAATCTGACATGAAGTCTGGACTGATAAATGGAAGCAATAGCTTGAGATAAGGCAGAATAGCAAGTTTCTGGTAAACTGGTTTTGCAGTGTGTGTATTTTGTACATAACATCCTTTATGTGCATGATTTTTTGTCAGTTGGCACTTATCCAAATGTGTGGATTATGTAAATATAACATGAAATAATATTAAAGTTTCTATGTTTGAGACTTTTGAGAGGTTTACATCATTTCAGTTTGCGTTCATACAGATTTGAGAAAGCATGGAAGCAATTGAAAAGGCATGAAGCAATTAAAATTTCATTTTTTTAATGGATGTATAACAGACTGCAAACTGAAATATGCAGCCATGTGAATCTTCAGATTAAAGTTCATTTAGAATGAACTAAGCTATCAGTTTTGCTTTGTTGGCTTTTTTTAAGCTGCTAATGAAAGAATATTTGCCCTTGGATGAAAAAAAAATCACTGAAGACAAAACAAATCAGAAATTAATATTTTGATATTGCAGGTACTTAAGGAATTAGTGTAATTACAGTGAGGTGAGTGATGTCACAGACCTACAGTAGCACTGTTTCTGCTAAAGGTCAGCATGTAGACAATTCCCCAGTGGAGGAAGCTGTACTTTGGCCACAGAGTTTAGTTTGGAAACACTGTGTCTTCACACAGGAAGTGTTGCAAGATTATTTTTTTTAACCCCATTTTTTATAATAAATGATGGGGGTTGTGGTTTATTTGGTTTTTTGGTTTAATTTTTAAAAAAAAAAACTCTCCACCTTGTGAAGTGCTAGTGGTTCCAAGTGCAGCATATTCTGTTTTCTTGCTAGCATATGTATTATGAGTCTAAACTAATTAGGCACTTTGGGCTTTGGCAGTGTATGAAGGGCAATGTATCTGAGTAAAGCTTTGACCCTTCCCGCTAATCTGAAATTGGGTTATATCCTAAGATGTGTGCTTAAACAGTAAACACAAAGCATCTATTTCAGTCAGTGAGGTTGATGAAGAAGAATGAATAAGATGTAAATAACAAGTTCTGTTTCCTTTCCTGTGACTGTAACCTGCCCTGGAGGATAATGACTGGGCAGTGGTTTGAGGATTTCAGCACTAAGTTGAACATGGTCTCTCCTCTTCTCCTGCAGGTACTCCTTTGTATGCTGCTCATTTCCGCCCCGGGCAGTTTGTGGATGTTACTGCAAAAACGTAGGTGCCTGAGGATTTATCATGTCTTAAATCTCTCTCAAAGAGACTGGCTGACTTTTTTTCTCTCTCATTTGGCTTGAACCCATGGCTCACAAAAGCTGAAATACAATTGCAACAGTAGTGACAGGAGGTTGACGTCCATTTGCTCATTGGGTCAAAAATATCAAGTTATGTTTCTTGATGAGGCTTCCTCTTGCTTTTGAACAAGGCTGGTAGACTATTGATGCTATTGAGGCTGAAGTCTGCCTGTGTTGTCTCTCACATGTTCATGATTAGCATGGGCAAAGAGATACTTTAATACAGTATCTCTGGTATGTAAAAATTCTGAAAGGTATTGGTTCCCAAAAAGACTGCTTAATTTTAATTTGGTGAAGAGATGGGAAGAGATATGCAGATAGCATATCTGGATAGCAAAAGGATAGCAAAAAGGTAGTGAATACATTTAGCAGTACAACAGAGCTGTCAGATTCTTTTGTTGTTTGTTTTCTCTTGCATTCCAGCTCATGTCCTTTCCAGCAGTGGCTAAAGATCTTTTACTTTAGTGTGGGAGGAATAATTTCCTCTTAGACCATTGTGAATGCCAAATGAGAGCTCAAGTAATAGAGGGTGTTTGAAAGAAAAACTGGCATTCTGTGGCAAAGACTGGTCCTGGCTCTTGTTGTACATCTGTGATTTTCCCTGACCAAGAGAGCTCCTGTCTGTATATTTCAGTGTCATGATACAAAGATAACATTTGCCATCACGTGTTTTATTTTCTCTGCAATGGAGATAGTACCCAGCTGCAGTTGTCCCACATGTAGGGTGTAATACCTATAAATGTCCAATGCTGTTCACAGGATTTTGTATATATGGGGAAACTGACCATATCAACAGAGCTGAGTATGCAATTCTAAAAGAGCTACACCTCACTGCATTTGTGAGGGCACGCTATTAAGAAAAACAGTTTAAGGAATTGATTGGAATTAGTTTTTTTTCCATGTCAGACTTTCTTGTACACTTAGGTCTGGCATATTATTCATTCTGCTTGTAAATTGCATTCAGTGAGCATCCTGTAAGAGACCATAGCTTGTTTGCAAAACAAAGCACATGATCGTTAGGAATACAGTCATTTAATGGAGATTATGTGTCCGTCTTTGTTAATGCAGAAAAGCTTTGCTTTTCCAGGAGCTTTTCCAAGAACTAGGAAAGGGATTTTTTAGCAGTGTAGAAGATATTGGTAAACAGCTGCAGGTTATTGATTTGTATCTTGCTTTTAGTATTTGAAAATACTAGCAAGCTAAAAATGGACTGGGTTCTTGGTCCTGTTCAATGAATCCATCCTAGATTGCAGTTCAGTATTTATAATATGTTTTCTCTAGATATTTGTATGATCCCATTTCAGAAATTAGGTGTGTGTTTGTACTGCTGATTTGGTAGCATATTTCTTGTAATCCTTCTGTAAAGATAATGTTCTTTAAAGTGAAAGGTGAAATGGGTTTTCCATCAGTGTGATTCTGTAATCATTCCAGTCTTTCTATATCAAAAATTTTTAACCTTTTCCTGTAGCTTGCTCACATTCTGATTTCTACTTCTTTGGAATGCTTTGGAATGTTTATCATGTTTCCTTACCTCCTGGGCAAGAATTAAGTTATGTTACTATATTTCAGTTTTTCTTCTATTCTTTTGGTTTTTTTCCATGCAATTTCATGCAGCAAAGTCCCATCCAACCTGGGGAAGGACTTGGAGGGAGGACCTGGGTCTTTCTGTTTCAAACCACTTTGGACTTGAAAAACAGTAATTCCTTAGACGTGGTGTCAAGTAAAAGTTTTTAGAAATATATTTACATGAAGATGTACTTTACATTTTTGAGTTTGACGGTAATTTTGCTTTAATTAGAGGAAACTCCAGAGTGTACAGTGTTAGAAATCATGTGGATAAAAATAGCAGTGCTGTTGATAACAGCATGATTAATTGTAATTAGTCCTTTAAAAAGGAAAGAAAGAAAACAAATATCACCTCAATGAGGAGATAATATAGTGGAATATAAAGGATTTTTTAATCTTTTACCAACTTTTAATTGTTCAGCTGAGCAAGATATCCTTTTGAATGCTTCCTTCTGCCAAAATGTAAATAAAATAATATGCTCCTTATGTATAAGCAATCTTCAAATTTCATTTCAGAAGTCTTGGGTTAGCCTCTTCATTTGGTTACCAAAATGTAGGGGGTTTTTATGACTGTCTTCTTTTAATCTTCCCTGCAAATGTTTTTGTCAAAGTCTTTTGAAGTGTTTTGATTCATTTATACCTCTGTAAAGAAAAACACTTTTACAGGAATGAGAGGGTTCAGTTAAAGATTTATGTTTGCACTTGGCTTTTGTTTCAAACCTCATAATTGTTCAGCATGGTATGAGTGTCTTTTAGAGCACAGAGACTGGGAAGTGTGTCTGCATGCTGTCAATCTTCTATAGTGCTGAAATACTTTCCTTAGTACTAATTTTCAGTAATTTAAAAGCTCAATCCTTAAGTTTAGCCCTGCTAAGCTTGGAGCTAAAATGCACAACAAAATCCAGAAACACCTCTCTCACAGGCTGCAGCTCTGTGACCCCACCTTGAGTACTGCTTACAGCTCTGTGGTCCCCTCTAGGAATGGAGCACCTCCCCTATGAGGAAAGGCTAAGGGAATTGGGATTGTTCAGCCTGGAGAAGAGAAGGCTTCAGGGTGACCTAATTGCAGCTTCCAGTACCTGAAGGGAGCCTGTAAGAAAGATGGAGAAAGACCTTTTACAAAAGCATGTGGTGACAGGACAAATGGCTTCAAACTGAGATTAGATATTCAAACTTTTGGATTAGATATTAGGAAGAAATTCTTTACTGTGAGGGTGATGAGAAACATCAGAAATGTTGTCACTCCCGAGAAAAAGCCAACAGTAGTTTTGTTGGAAAGTGATGAGTCTGGAGTGTTTATGGTTTATTTAAGTTTTGCTCAATTAACAGTGTAATCTGAGCCTGAATCAGAAACCTCCATTTGCCCAAAGTTATCTGAGTAAGTAGTTGGAATGCTTTTCCCCTGCAGCATCGAAATAATGCTCTTTTAAATTAACTGCATTTGAAGAGTTACTAGCTAAGTAAATTGTTGCTTAATTCCCATAGCTTTCTAAATGAAAGTTCTCTCATTACATACTGGCATTTTTCTTGTATCAAATCTGGAAAATGAGGGTTTGTACAAAATTAGGTGGTTGACCTCAACACCTGCTTTCCTGCAGGTGAGACCAGAACAACTGTAATTAAACTCTATTTTTAACTCTGCAGAAAGATTATTTTTCTTTTAACTCTTGTATGTCCTAGTTTTTCATATCATCATTGCTCCCTATTATTACTTTCTGGGAATCAGGTAATGCTCCACTCAGTGAAGCCAAGTAAACTAAGTCACTATATTGCATCTGTTGAGGAACAGGGGCATTCTGCATTTCAAATCTAGTTTTATAAGTCTCATGCATGTGGGGTTTTGTGTTCAGATATGGTGTGTAATGTTACTGTTAGAACATTAAAGATGTATAGCCCTTGATTCAAACCAAGACAACAGGTAGAAGATGCCTTAGCATGATACCACAACAGGGTAAGCAGGATGTCAAACATTCTACTTCAGTGTAGGTTCTTGGTTATTGTATTTCAGATACTGTAGCAAAATCAATTCTTTCTGAGTGGATTCTAGTAATTTATTCTGTTAAGTTAATATATAGTACTGGATTAACATCCTGCTTTGACAGACCTTAATGTTTTTTAAAAATCTCAGCTGGCTTAGGTTAAGTTTAAATAATTACTTTTCTTTTATTGGTGATCCTTGCTGAATGTGTTCACTTGTAGTAATTTTTAAGGAGGGCAAAGAGGGCAGTTAAACAATTTGAAGTTAAATGAGTGATATTAATAGCTGATACCTGGTATTTGTTCAGAAATTGACAAGAATATAATTTGCATAATATTCATTATTTTTGTCAGAATAAAAAGTTTAAGATTTATAAAATACACTGTATAAACTCTTCTCTGATCTTCCATAATATGTCTTGAACAGCATGCATCTTAACTTCTCTTCCTTGTTTACATAAGATAAATATTAGTTTCAAAAGCATATTGCATTTCATACAATTGGAAGAATGTAAAGTCTTTGCATTAGAAATACAGATAAATTGTGGATCGTGGAGAAAATGTAGTCTTTTTTGTTTTTTTTTCATGTAGTGGAGAAATCCATCCCTTGTCTGAAAACAGATCTTATTCACATCAATTTAGGCTGGAAAAACACTGTTCTTTAGAATGCTTGGGGTATATTGCCTGAGCTACTAACTGCCTAGTTGACCAGTTCTAAATTTTATTATAAACCAGATGTTAGTAGGTCCTTACTTTGTTTTAAACTTTGCATTCAGTCTAGATAATCTTATTCTGTTCTTACTCTGTTTTCAGCTTTTTTTCAGATGGAACATGAGTCAAATAAGAAATATACACAGTGTAATTGTTTGTCTTCTTGACGTGTGTGACAAAAAACATTACACATTGTTTATTCTTTTTTAAAGTAAAAAACTCCAAAATGAAAAAAACTGTAACTGCTTCTTATTAAATTATTTCAGTCATGATGGCTGTGTCATATTAAATAGGAAATTAATGTCAGGAAGTCCTAAGTTAGGTGAAGTGTCCTTGTAGATAACAGAGTGATTTTTACAAGTCAAAAATGAAACTAATCTGAAACATTATTGAACTAATATGATGAAAACACCTTGATAGATAGTAAAAAAAAATGAAATATGAAAATAAAAAAGTATAAAATTAAAATTAGAAATTTTTTAAAAAGTATAAAATGCTCTTAATTTCAGTATTGCAATATCTTTCCTTGACTTTAAGCAGAATATTTCAGAGACTGAAGATTTGTTTTCATATTCCAGATCAACAGATGCAGGAGAACTTTCAGGTTTACTGGAGTACTCGTTTTTCAGTCTGATCACACTTTCTGTAAAGTTCCTAAGGCTTCGGTGTTGTAAAATCTGAGTCTTTGTTCACAGAAAATACATGTGTAATTGGAAGGACCAAGAAGCAACTGAGTATTCTCTATTGCATGAATCAATTAATACTAACAACTCTATCTTGTAATATAATCACTTTTTTTGAAGTTATCTTATAGTATTTGATGTACTAAACTCTATTTAAAAACACATCTCTTGCATATATGAAGTATTTATGTTTTAAAATTTTTAAGCACAACTGACAGTATTCTAAATTGTTCATATTAAAAACCAAGTAAGTTGAATGAAATGTTGAAGTGATTTCATGACATCAGAGATTTATTCTTCTTGGCTAAGTTTGACAGTAGTGTTTACTTTTGAAATGGTAGTTTTCTGTGGTTGTGTGGTTTTCTCTGAATTGCAAGGGCATTTCTGCAGCTAAAGAATTTATCATGCCCCATCATTTAAAGAGAGAATTTATCTGCTCGCTCTGTTGACTGCACACCTGCAACCCACTTGCAGTTGGTTTTGGAGACTTTGCTAAGTCCATCTTCCAGCTAAAGATGCCAGAAGTAATCTGCTTGGAAAACATGGCCAGTAATAGGTAGTTTAAAAGAAAAAAAACAGCATTTTGACAGAACAGATATGAGTTTTCCTATAGCTTAGTTTCTGCATGTATTTCATAGTTACTGCTCCCTAGCAATATAAAAACAGAAAAACACAAGTTTAGAGCCTCTCTTAAAGTGTATTTTTCAAACTGTTTTTTATGACAATTTCTGTTTACTACTGCAAGCTTTTAAAATAAGCTGATACTATCAGAAAGTGGTGTTACAAAGCCTTGCATCCTTTGGATTCCTGTCTTGTGTTCCTGATCCCAGGTAACCCAGGTCCTCCCTCCCACAGGTGCCTTCATTCAGCTTCCTCTCATGGCCCCAACCCTCTTCATATCTTCATGTCCCACCACTGTCTGCTGGCCTGGAAGGACTTGTCTTGCTGGTGACAGCCACTTGCATGACCAGCCAGCTGGCAGATCAAAGGCAGATATCACTGCTTTATTAAGTTTTAGCTTTTCCTTAGCTCTAGGTAAGGAGCAAAAAATAGTCAGGAGCTTCTAACCAGTAACTTCTTTATTCAAACAATTACACATGTTTCTTTGCCAGATTTAACTGGAATTGTCCCATAGGTTCTGAGCAGGGAAGGGGAAGACCAGGAGACAGACACTGTGGTTGCACAGCTCATGTTCCCTTACAATTCTGTAGCTTTAGAGAGTCTTTCTTTATGGCTATTTTTGACTGGGGTTTGATATGTTCAAGCTAACCAGGACAGCAGTTAGAGGAGAGCTGAATCAAGTGAGAAGAGGAAAGAATCTACTTTTTGTTAATGTTGGTGTTTTCTGTGTTTGTGTGTTCACTAGTTTTTCATGGCAGTGCTGAGCAGGGAGTCAGCCAAGTGCAGTTCCTGCATAGAGTGTGCTCATACCCAGTTTTATTTTAGATGCAAAGTACCTATATATTTTTATTTTTAATGTGAAGTGCATTAGCAGAGAAAGTATTTCTCTAAATCAGAGGAAAAGGATTCTCTTGCAAAATCATAGAATCACAGGATATTCAAAGTTGGAAGGGACCTACAAGGATCACAGGGTCCAACTCTTTAAGTGAAAGGGCCTTACAGGGATGGAACCACAACCTTGGCATTAGAAGCACCATGCTCTGACCAACTGAGACAATTTCAGGTTAAATTTAATAATCAGTGCAGCTGTAAACACTGTGGTCAGACTTCTGCTTTTGGGCACAGATAATGCCAGTTTAACACACACTTAATTCGGCTTTTCCTTTGTGCAGTGGTGATTTTTCCTATTGAATCTGTCCTTGCAGTAAATAGAGAATTCCAAAGCCAGTAATGCTGTCATGTGGCTCCAAGATGAAGGACATGGATTCTGAAAATACATTTTATTTGATATTGTGTTTTAGAGCTTATTTGTTGGATGAATACAGATCAAGGGAATTACGTGTCACTATACCCAAAGCTGCTCTCAGGAGATGAGTTTGTTGTATGGAAAAGAAATGTTCCTTCTAAGTAGCCATCTCATCCCTCTCTCGATGCTAGGCCAGATACTAAGTTGTGGTATATGGTATTATTTGGGATTTTGACAGGGTTTTTGTTTGTTTGTTCTGCTGCTCACTTGGTGATAGATGCATTATGGTAACTTTTATTGAGGACAATCACAGCAAAGAGCATTTTATGTTAGTCTTCTTGCCTGTTTGACTCTTCTAGTGCTTCTTATTCTGTAAAGCAGTCTTTAAGCATTGTACTAAAATATGTTTATGGTGCAAAATACAGATTTTTATACCATGTTTAAGTGTCTTCCCTAAGCTGAGTGTTGTTAAAGGTAAAAAAATCATGAGCCTGACTGGAATTGTTGATTATTGCTAGAAAGCTTATGTCTGACTAACCCAGGTTTGTTTCTTAATTATTTTTGTTTTCAGAATTGGTAAAGGATTTCAAGGTGTCATGAAAAGGTGGGGATTTAAAGGTCAGCCTGCAAGCCATGGCCAGACAAAAACTCACAGACGACCTGGAGCAATATCTACCAATGTGAGGATTCTCATTTCCCATTAAAACATTCTTCATTGTTTTTAGAACAGCTTACTAAAACTGAACAAATGTACAATAGCCAGCTGCCACAGTTACTCTGTGCTAGCAGGGAATCCCAGCAGCAAAGGAAGTTCAGAATCCTGTATAAGGAGTAGTGCTGTTCTCTCAGGCCTCGATTTATGAATATTCTGTATTGCTGGTAAATGCTCATGTTTTAACTGAGCTAATTGGCATATCTTGTAATATTGTGGGAGAAACAGTCTTAATACTTCAAAGAGAGTTCTAAGAAGCTTTTATCACAGCATTTATAGATTGGAATGGATTTGCCTGATATGTTATCCTGCAGATATTGTACTCTTCTTTGTAACCCTGGTTGCTTTTATCACCTTGCCTGGCATGTGTAGCTGCTTCATGATCTGATCCCCATAATTTAGTAGGGAATTATTCCCAGAAGTGTGTAAGCTTCCATGCATTTCTAAGCAGAGTACAGAGTCATATTTTTACATTTCAAACTATAAATAATATTAGTATAAAAGCTCTTTGAACAAGTTAATTTTAGGCTTTGTCTTATAAAGGCTGTACAATATTTAGACTGAACTAAGAGGAATATTTTGCAAACTAATTAAGATAAACTGAGTCATAGTACTGAACATGAACTGTCTGTAAATTTCTGAGAGAAATTAAAATTTAAAAAAGGATTAATAATGCTCAAGAGAATAGTAAAAGCAAAAAGGCATCAGTAAATGAAGTCTGAGTAATTGAGAGTGTAAAAGCATGTGTTACTGATTTATAGTCCTCAGTTTCAGCTGGCAGAAGAATTCTACACCTGGCACTTGTTTTCATTGAAGAATGTAAATATTTGAACACTAAACACTATTTTAGCAGATGGTATTCATCATTACAAAATAACCCCTTTCCTTTTCTTTGAATTAGAATTTCCTAAGCAGTAATGCTGCATGTAATTTCACAAAGTATATAGAATGAAAAATGGTATTGGAAATAGGTATGATGGAAAGGAAACAAGGTGAAAGGATGCAACAGGGGAAAAGCGATGCCTTGACAGTACTTTCCCATCTATGGTTGGCTATCTCAGAGATTTTTGTAATCCAGGACTGTTCAGTAGAGAATCTTCTCCCTAGAACTGCATTGCAACTGATTTCCTGAAATCATGATTTCCACAAGAATTAAGAAATACTCCAAAAAACATTATTAATGTATAACAGAGAGGTGCAGGATACAAATCCTTTGATAATATTGTAGAATTGAAAATTATTGCACTTGTTCCTGCCTTTTTTCCCCACCTTTGTTGTCCAGTTTATGCCCAGCCAATCAAAATTGGGTACGGAAACTAAAGAATACTGGGGAGTGGAATTAAAAATTCCACTCTCAAGAATACACACATTAGAAAAGATCTGATTGACATCAGTGTAAAAACTTTTTGATTAGGGGAGGAGAGAAACTACAATGTGTGTGTGTGTGTATATATATATATAGATAAATATAAATCTTGTGATTGTGGTCAAGTATTTCAGAACACATGTAGAATAAAACGTAACCTCTGGCAGGAGGTATTTAAAATGCTTGTCAGGATTAGATTTTTTTGATGTTACAGATTTTCAGCCTTGGAAATACCAGCATATTTTCTCTGGTGTACCTCTTGCAGTTAACATGGTGGTTTTGGCCTTGTTTTTATCTAGCAAGCTGCCAAAGTTTATCGTGGAAAGAAAATGCCTGGTAAAATGGGTAACATCTACAGGACATCTTTTGGATTAAAGGTGAGTTCTGGCTATACCAGTGTGTGTATAAGGTAGTGGCATTGCCAAGCAATGGTGTCCTGTCTGCCATCTCTGCAAGAGTCCAGACAGCAGCATCTTGAAGTAAGCAAGCTGAAAAGACCAGAGCAGCAAATGTGTTCTCCTGTTCTCTTGTGGGTTACAAATAACTTATCTGAACATCCTTTTGTGTTTGTGGCACCCTGGGAACTGGGATTTCAGGTGATGCTTCCACATTCAGTGTGTTTTTCCTTATGTCCCTTGACTTCTGCCTTTGAAGAGGGAAAACAATCAGTCTTTTGGTGATTTCAGTTAATGTCTCCATGCCTATTCCATTGTTCACACCCAACCCAAATCTGAGTTGTTTGAAGCTCTGACTGGTCATGGCCTTTCACTTTCATGTGCAAAAAGGGGGTTTCTGTCCTGATTCTGATTTGTGCATAGCTGCAGCAGCTCCCGAGCTATTAAAGTTACGCTGTCTCTGAAGGCAACCTCTGCAGTTTGCACAAAAAGCATTTTCACCTCTAGTTTGCCAAAAAGTGCTGCTGTTGTTCTCAGTTTACTATAACTAATTTTTTGTAGCAGAACATACGTGTGTTCAGTTGGGCACCTGATTGAGTTAAGAAATTAACATATGGTGACAGGAACATTTTCACAAGGACATTTGTTTTACTTTGTCACCTGTGATGTTTTTCATCTTTTTCAACTTATTCCTGTTAGAGGGAAAAGAGACCTGGGAGCTTTGGTTGGTGTTACACTAAACAAAGAGCTGCTTTACCAAATACAGTCACCAGCCCTTTAAAACTGTTTCAGTCTCTTGCATTGGGAAGCTTTGCTCCCAGAGTGGCATGTGAGTGAATTCTATGGCAAGTTTAGGCCTGTACAGAACATTTTTCTTCCCCAGGGTATCACAGCCAATTACTCAGTCTGGGCTTTGCTAGACTTCTTGTAAAACTGGGAATAATCTCTAAACAGGACTTAATGTTTGATTTTTTTTTTTTCTGTCTCCTAGGTATGGAGGATCAATACAAAACATGACATTATTTATGTAAATGGGTCTGTTCCAGGTCACACCAATTGCCTGGTGAAGGTATGTTTGCTACTTTCAATACTGGTATTAGTGACTCCTAAGCTCTCTACAAATCAATTTCCAAATGGAAAAACAGTGGTAGGATGCAATTTTCATTTCTTCTGAGAAATCTTGTACTGTTAAATCAAAGGGCAGTGGAATCAGTTGTGTGATAGAGCATGGTCAGCAGGGGCAGTAAGCACTGAATGGCTCGGTAGGGCACTCTAAATGGCTCCTTCTTAGATTTGCACCCACATATCTTAGGATATACCAGCACAGTTGCTGAACCCTGTGGTAAGCTGTGTTCATCCCCTTTGAATGCCAACATGAGCCTGTAACATGGTGGTGAGATTTCCAGAATGTTATTTAAGTGTTATATTGATGAACAGACACACAACAAGTCCTGCTTTAGAGGTTATTTAAGCATTCCCATACCCAGTAGCAGTTACTTTTCCAAGAAGCAGTTGAGGTACACAAAGAAACAGCTGGAGTTCACAATAAAGATCTGAGTTCCCTTTGGAATCAATATAAATGTGCCAGTGGTATTTTCTGTGGCAGTCTGCAGAATTCATTTCAAATTATTTGGATATTGTTTCAGTTTTCTGTAGACAATCTTAAAACAATGAAGAGTCTGATAAGTGTTCTTATGATGTAAATAATTCACATCAAAGCAAGAAAAGTGCTTTTCAAGGGTAGTTTTCAAAGTAGAATTTTCTTTGTTACTTTCTTTCTACTTATATTCTGCATACCTGCAAACCACTTACTTGGAGGAAGTTCTTTCCATTCTGACTGAATAAAGTGCAGGGTATCAAATGTCTTTGCTATGAAGGACTATGATGAGTTTGGTATGCATGTACCTCTGTATCTGAGAATTTTAAATCCTCAGAAGTACTGCAGGGATTTAAATGGTTCAGGACTTGAAAAGTTGAAGAGTTCATCAAATTCAGATGTTTTCAAATAGTTTATTATCTTCTGGTTTACTGTGGACATCTGGTTTTTTTGTCTCTTAGTTGTGGAAGAGAACTCTACAGCTACTGGGCCTCTGTTCAGCAACCTTGCCTTCAAATAGGGTTTTTACCCATAGAAAATTAATGTTTCTCTCACTGCAAATAAGGCCTTTTGTCCTGGGCAAGGTATCTCTTAACTGTTTTTATTTTAATGTCCAGCCCAAGTCTGGGGAATACATTACACATTTTTCTTCCAAATATAGTGAAAATTGGTTAAGAGATGTCCAGGAAAAGTAGTTTTCAGGACAACTTCTGCAAAATTACTGGGCGTGACATCAATTACATAGAATTAAGAGTGTGGTTTGACTGGCTTTTCATCTGTATATTGGACTGAATGAACTTTTCTTAACTGTGTTCAAAGTATTTTTTCCTAATCCTGAGGCATGAACCTGGTTTCTCAATGTCAGTCTGAAATTTAATTAAGTGGGAATTTATTTTAGGATGTTAGTTTTAAATAATAATGTGTGCATACAAGCAGCATAATGTAGCTGAAAAATTGAGAAATGTATGATGCCCAGACTGTATTCTTTGATCTTAATAGTTCTCTTAAGCAAGAGTTAATTGTTGAAAAATATTGTGCATCTTGTTACCCTGGTAATGCCATTAAAATCCACGTTGGGGGCAAATGCAGGTACACATCTCACATATTTTATTTGTAAGGATGCATCATCTTATGAAGCCACTGAGACTGAGTACAGTGCCTGTTTTTACCAGATAAAAACTTTTATTCTAACTAGACTCAAAAATCTAATTTTTATTTCTGATTTTAAGTGAGTTAAGAAAACAAACATTTATTACACACCTGTAATATAAATTGTTTTTTAAAGCAAAGCTCTGTGTGTTAATACTGCACATTCTTATGTACACCATGAAGATCTCATTCAAACAAATCATTCTTCCCTTGCTGATCAGACACTGCACATTCTGCTTGGAAAAGAACATACATGGGAAGAATGAGGCTTTTCTTCCCTTAGAGCTCCTTGCTTAAGAGAGTATATGAAAGATTTTGACCAAAGTGCTGCGGACTCAAATTTTCATGACATTTAATAATAAGTAACACTGTGTGAGGTCAAGACACAGCCGTAGGTGTCACTGCTATTAAGAAATAGGTCTCCCAAAGTTGCTTCCAGTCTTATTAGGAGATTGAAGGCAATATGTAGTAAGCTACATTTCATTCCAATTCCTTGAGCTGGTGGATCCATTCTGTGGCTTTTTCCTTGCATGGGCCATATGAATTACATTACATTCATTTTTTCCCTTATTTTTTCAAATATATCTGCAAAGAGTAGAAAAGGCTTTAATTATAAAATCAGGTAAAGCAATACTATTTGGTTCTCTGATTTCTGGGGGGTTTTTTCTCCATTAATCTTGCTGCATTCATCTGTGGTGTTTTTAGCTTCCTTACACCTTTCTTCCACAGTGTTTTCTTGTTTGCTTATAGACATTGACTTCCAATATATTGTTGTATATTTGTTTGGATCTGTAGCTGGGAAGAGGAATTATGGGATATTAGCTGCTGTAATTACTGTTCATTCCACTAAATACCTGCCTGTAATAAGTAGGAATAATGTCTAGGGAATTTGAATCCATCTGTCTTTGAGTTCCAGAGTGAAATATTGCATAATACTTCCCTCTTTGTGTGCCTCCAAGGGGAAGGCATTTGTGTTCAGTACCCACTCTGTGTTGCTTGGTAACCATTAAAACCATAGTGCACCTTTAAAGCATATATTTATTTTGTATGTTGTATTTTTGGAAACTTCATGCATCAGCACTCAGTTCAGACAGAGATGAAGCACTTAAATTTTTCAAGTTTTGTTTTCAGCAGAATAAAATTGCAGAATACTGGGATTGATGGATTTCTGTTTTTAATTAGAATCAGCTTTCATTTGATATTGCACATTGAAGTATGCAGGTAAATAACTGACATCAGTAATGTTTCTAGCCAACTGGAAAACTAATGTAAAAAGCTTACATAGATTTTTTTCTCAATTGCAAGGTGTGATAAAATTAATAAACTTTAGGAGTGTGCTGGAATGCACAGAGTTCTTCTGTTACAAGAATAACATTGCAGAGTAAGCAATTGTAATATTTGTGTGTTGGGCCTATCAAGATTGCCTACCTCAGGAAACATCTGTTTCTTTCTGGGGTATCTTCTTAGATCCCAGGGCCCGTAGTTACCATCTATAACAGCTTTCTCTTTCTAAAGGTGATGGCTCTGGAGTGCTCTCCCAGGTGTGTTATCAAAAACTTCTCTTTTGTCATTCAAGAGAGATGCACAAGACTTAACTCAAGTAGATGCCTTTTAGTGGAGAGTAATATAGTATATTATAATTCACGATGTTATACTTTGTCTAGAATAGTATTTTGTACCTGCCCTGATTTTCAGGTACCTGATTTTCTTAGGATATTCTGTGTTGATCATTTTAAATATATCACTTGTAGCGAGGGCAGAAATTCTGGCAAATCTTGTAGCCCATAGGAGTTGCTTTGCAAGTTGATACTGAACTAACCTGTTTGTATGCTAGACCTGAGTCCAATTGAAGTATCCAAGTTGCTTTAGTATGATGTTCCACTTGAGCTAGTAACTTAAGTCTTGACATTCCCTATTTTTGTTTGGCTCTTTTTTTTTTTTTTTTTAAAGAGAAGTAGTGATTTGCATCCTATTTATTTTGTACCACACTTCCCAATGTTACTGTGCTGTATTGCTAGTTGTTGATGCCTGGATTGGGTGCCCTCTGCTCAAGTTGAGGACACGCAGGGATAGTGTGGTGCCTTCAATTTTTTCATGTTCTCTGTCCTGTGCCTTGGGCCTCATTCATAGAGTTGTGTGGAGGTTTGGGGGGATTTGTATGGCTGGGTATTTTTTAAGACAAAATAAGGCTGGTAAGAAATGGATATAATTCTTGGGTTCAGTTTTTATGTCTAGCTTCAAAAATAGCAGGGAAGCTGAGTTAGGTGATGTATGACACCTCGGGAGCTTATTTCTAATCATTTTCTATATTTAAACACATTTTTATACACAAATAGCTTGCATTCTTTGCTGTGGTTGCTAACACAGCCTGAAGCCCTGTTAAACTACAAATGTGAGTTCTGACTTAAGCATCAGTTTTTAACACTTGTTTAAGACCACATTAAGCCTTTTGTGGTGATAGATTTCTGAGTTTGTGTTTGTTTATACTACCCATTACACTGTCAATATAGGGGACATATATAAGTGCAGTTTATTAATTGTCTGCAAAACCCTTTATGACTGTTCTAAAGATTTAGTGACCCAACCAGCTCCAATTTCAGCTTTCTCTAGTATTTTTCTAGATAAAATGACCTGTCAGAGAATACACTGTAGTGGTTATACCCTCATCTGTATATAACATCTATCTATCTATAGTATAGTCTACTGTAATTTATAGTGCTATTAACACAGCAGTTGAGTAAGCCCAGCATTTATTATATGAGGTATATAGCAAATGCTTTTATGGATAGCAGTAACAGTTTGGACTATGAGCTTGATTCCTTCTGGGGATGAGAGCCAAATTCACTGGATTTCAGTAACACAGCATGAAAACTTACTCCTTTATTAGGGAGGGATGTTCTCAGGACGTTACTAGGAGAGCAGGAAGAGCTGTGCTGGGTCACCTGCACTTCTTTTCTGTGTACTTGCCTATACAGACTAGTGTAGCTGCTGCTGCTCCACACCAGTGAACCTCTTTATACTGCTGTGAAATTATTGTTCCTGTGTCTCTTACCTCAGATTACTGAAACCTTTGGTACGCTGGGCCCTTCATAAATGTAAAGGGAGTAATTAAATAATTCTCTTGAGAAGACAGATAAATCATTCCATGTTTTAGCTGCTAAACAATACTTTCAGGTGTAAAACGAAGTTGAGTTCTTCTTTAAATAGTAATGATAATGACAATACATGATAATAGAATTCCATCTAACTTTTTTTAATTTCAAGGAGAAAGAGTTTCATGTAGCTTGGTAGTGATGCTCTAAGATAGCACTTTTTTACTTTAAATTACATTTGAAAGCTATGAGTGTAGAGAAAGATGGAAAAAGAGCAGTAGCTTCACCTGTCAAAAGAAATACTGCATCAATTATACCAATAAAAAAAAATGACCATATCAGAAGAAAACAATTTTAACATCAGATGTGACCTGTGTTTCTGGGATCTGTCAAGCTTCTGAGGAGTTTGGAAGGGGCAAAATGAAACAGTGTTGTACTGCTCTGGGTGCAACAATGGTCTGTTAGAGCTGTTTCAGGAGACTCTTAAAACTGTTTTAAGAATTCTCCATATCACACTGAAGATACTCTGTCCAAAATGCCTCTTGGCATTAATATGTAATTCATACAATGTTAAGTCTGGACAGAAATCTTAAATTCATTTAAGTAAACTAATGCAGGACTGAAATTAGACTTTTGGATTTTCCTTCAGTTAAGAGCAGATGTCTTACTGCCAAATCCTGTCATAAGAAATTGTTTTAAGAAGTAATGGAAAAAAAATAGGAGGAAAACAAACATTTCAATTCCTTTCATTTTCTGGATGTCCAGAGCTGCCTGCAATAACACAGCCTATATGTAACAGCACATACTATTTCTTGATTAAAGTAATCTAAAATAACAAAAAGTAGATATGAAAACATTTAAATAAGATATACATGAAATGAATAAGTTATCATAAATAAAATCATTTCTTCTAATCTTTCTGATACTAACTCATGTAGGGATCATGAGGGGTTTTGCTGTTGACAGAGAAAGCTTTTGGTGTGTAATAGGATTAGAGAGTAAAGGAGAAATCAGCAAGGGAAATAATAGATAACCAGTGAAACAGTTAAAATGGGGTTTCAGATAGCAAAAGAAACAGCCACAGTGTATTGAAAGGGAAGGATGACGTCTCTGAAGATGCCATCCTTCAGGTGACACTGCTGAAGCTCTCTTGACTGTTTCCTCTGAACTCACTGTTGCAGCAAAGGTCTGTGGATTGGATCTCAGTCTAGTTCATTCCAGCTAGATGTGCAGTGTAAATTGGGAGCTCTGGCAGTTCACAAGACCATAGAGAGCACTTCTGTAGAAGAGCAGTGTTCTACTTGAAAAGCTACTTAGCCATCCTAACCAGTGCAACACATTGAACCCCTCATCCCCTCATTCTTAGCAAAAGGCTTTCTTGTGTTTATCAAGCTTGCCCTTAAAAATATATTGGAATGCCAGATTTATTGTATGTACTATCTGCAGGAATCCTCATGGATTTTGGGAAAGGTTCAAGTAATAGTAGATATGAATTTGGTAAATACAGTGCTGTCAGAACAGAGCATTAAGTGGGCACAAATTTTTTTTAATTTAATTTTTGGCATAAATCAGAACTGTCCTACATGAGGTCTTTGTCCAACCTAGTAAGAACAAGCATCCTGTTCCTTAAAACCCTACCAAAAACTAAGAGGAAGAGTTTATCTTCTCTCTACTAAAATTTTGTCTAATCTATTTGCACTTTTTTTTTTAAATCCACTTGAGTATAGTGCCTGAAGGGGATTATTACAGCTCAGGAGGAAGATGATATGTAACAATATAAAAAAGAAGAATTTAATTTTAAATCAAATTTAAGAATTTGTAGCTCTTTTTTTTTTATTCAGAGATACCAGCCTTCTATCTGCTACTGCAGACAAACTGCTTTTTGCTGATAATTCTTGCTACTAATTTTCTTCAGAGATTGGAGTTTCAGGGGCTAGATTTTAAATCTTTCCCCATGTAGAGAGGTCAGTAAAGGAATTTCTCTGTGGCACCACTCTTCTCACAAATAAGCTGTCTTAGAGGCTCATGTTCAACAAACTTAGGTACTGATTCCTGAGTGAAGAATTTTAGATGTTTAACTCTGCAGTAACTGAGCAGCTCTGCAATAGCCAGAGGGATTCAGTACAGCACATGCACATATCTTTGCAAAATTAGTTGCAATAATTAGTTTGCATCACGCATACAAATGCGTGTCTTGTTTGTTGAAGAGGTGATTACACTGCATAATAGAACTTGGAATGTCAGGTACGAACATACTGTGAGAAATAAGCACTCTTAAAACAAGCTATACTCCTATTTTAATAACATTGTAAAATATTGAGCAATGAATTCATGTGAGAAGGTTTTGATTCATTGTAATGACAAATTCTCTTTGTATTTTTTGTTTGTTTAGTTTTGCTGATTTTTAAAATCTTTTTAAGGATGAGTACAAAATGTTAAATTCAATATCTGGGGTTGATGTTAAAGTAACTGATGATTATACCTGGAATTCTTTAAACAAGTGGAATGTGAATGCTGTTGGGTTTTTCTTATGCATGCAAGCTGAGTTCTTTAAATTCTGGTGTATCACTGTCTAAAAATCTTCTGTAAGATTTATTAACCCTACTCTCCCCCTTCCTGCTTTTCAGGTCAGAGATAGCAAATTGCCTACTTACAAGGACTGCAATAAAAACCCTCCATTCCCCACGTTTTTTGCTGATGGAGATGAAGAACTGCCAGAAGACCTTTTTGATGAGGAGATTTTCCAGTTCACAGATCCATCTGTCACATTCGCATAATGTTCCTCTCATCTTTGAAAACACAGTTTTGTTATTTTCATGTACATTGCAATGCTGTATAAAAGTAAGCCTATGAACTGCAGTCTGGCCAACTGACTTAAACACTTCAGGTATTGCCATTTTGGTCAGGTAATCAGATTTCCCACTGTCAGTCTCAAACCTGTACTTAAAGCAACAGGTGGGTCTGAGGGACAGGTTGTAAAGCACACCAAACTGTGTGTCTTCAGTGACCTTTTGTCTTCTGCCCCAGGCTGTGAAAACCTACACAATCCTGAAAAACTGCTGTTTTGAAGATGGTTCCAGTTCATTTTCTGAATGTGAACAAATTCTGTTTCTCTTTTATGTGAAGTATACTGGGCAACTCTGATCAAATCAGAAAAAGGTTCCAAATCTGCCTTGGCATCTGAGGTGGGGGGATCCATGAAGAATTATCCAAAATAAAACAAGAAAATGCGTGAGCATTGTTTTACAGAATGAGCTTGTTTTGTTTCCTTTTTTTTGTCCAGATCTCTTTATCTCCTTTTGCCTTTGTGTTGTTTAATGTAGCAAATACCCAACAGATTTTCTGGAGGGAGGGTGATGGTGGCCATATGTAGGGTGAGGGAGTGTTTGGGTGGGAAACATTCAGTAACAAAGCAGCACTAGGACTGCAGGGGCCACCTGTTTGTCACCTTTGCTAACAGCTTCTTCTGAACTTCACTGAGGTCCCTTGAATGTTCTCTGAAGAAGTCTCTGTGCATCTACCATGGCATTTGTATTGGATTTTTATGCTGTTATAGGAGAGCTATTTCCAAGGAAAGAGGCCAAATGTGAGGCATTTGTCTTTATGATAGTGTTCGTTTTTCTCATCTATCCCACCTTTCAATAGCATTGGGATTGTGCCCCTTCTGCTTTTCACTTTGCATGATTTACTATTTATAAGTTTGATCTTTTGGATTCTGTAAATCTTCTCATGTACAGAAGTACTTTCATAGCTGTCAGTGCCATCTGAGCACTTCACTTTACTCACAAGCCCTGCAGTAGTTCCAAGAATTTGCATACAGTGTTATCATTAATACCCTGGCAGTGCTGTCTCCTCATCTTTGCAGCTTCATCACACACTATGAGCTCAAAGGAAGCCACAGGTTTATGGCAGTACATTAATGTGAACTCTTATTATATCAGATAATATTTCAGTGTGGGGAAAATCACCAAAGTGCTTCAATTCCTGTTTCTTTGGTAAGAGAACTTTTCCTCTTCTGGCATAAAAAGTGAAATTGCAATGATTTGATCATGTTGCTCCAGAGAATGACTACAGCCATTCAGACAATACTGTAGTTAATGTTGCCTTCCATTTGTTCAGTTTTAAAGTTTCTGTTGAAACCAGTATTCTATCAGAGTAATCTCTGCAGTTCTGATTTTGAAATGTGTGCTGGGTGTGAACTGTATGATTTTTTGAGGTGCTGCTTATTCAGGTCCTGTTTTTACTGAGATGCACAGGTGAAACCTTTTCCATCTTTATCAAGAGTGCTTGAACATCAAAGACAAGAGCCTTCATAGCTGAACTGCAGGCTGATGTCCGAAAGTATTTCCTGTAGAAGAGAAACAGAGGGAGATGGGTGAGATCTGCTGATGTGAGCTCAGAGTAGTGCAGCTCAGATTGAAACATAAACTTCCATTTTACCCATTCTTCCATCAGGCATTGGAAGGCTTATGGTGTTTCAATTTTGCTTATTGTTTTCATCTCTGTTTTCTGCTCTTCTGAGTAGAGAGGGGGACTTTGAGTTGAGAAAGCCAGGCTGAATTTATTTCAAGGAGCAAAATTGTTCATAAGTGTGATGACATCAAATGCCTTTAGCCCACCTACAAGTTTGTTCTTAGAAAAGGTTAAGGATGTTTAATGAACTATTTTTAGACATTATCAAAGGTGTTGAAGCTGAATATTTATTCATTGTGGCCAAAGGTTGTAGCTAATGGAGATGTGCTTTTAAGCTTCAAATAAAAGACAAAATTAGGCAAATATCAAGTCCTCGTGTCTCAGATGAGCCAACAGTTTCTCAAAGGGTGTGTTAATTTTTGTGAAAAGGTAGACCAAGGGCTCTGTTGCAAGTAGGTGTATCTGTGTGTTTTGTTGCTGTGTCTGAGTAATGACAGTTTAGAGCCATCAGGTAACATTTTCTCAGGCAAGCAACAACAGCAACAAAAATAAGTTCTTATTCCATATTACCTGTAGTTATTTAAGGAGAAGGAACTGAACATGTTACCAGAGCTCTGAATCCTGTAGGACAGCATCCTACCCAAAGCTGGGAGCTGTTATGCTGCCCAAGGAAGTAATTGCTGGCAAGCTCTGCTGCCAGTGCCATAACTTGAGAAGGTTGCCACAAGGTCTCCCAAAGACGACTCCTGTCCAGGCTGAGCAACCCCAGCTCTCTCAGCCTGTCTTCATAGGAGAGGTTCCAGCATCTGATCACCTTTGTGGCCTTTTTCTGGAGTCACTCTAGGAGTTAATTCTGTGCCCCTGTGCTATGGACAAGGCACTGATCTGTGGTTTACATGTCCAGGAGCTCATTAACCCTCTCCTTATGCTGTTGTGTTTGTTGGGCTTAGTGGGGTGTTTTTAACATCAGGAACATGCTCCTCTGGAGGAGGATGTAGGGTTAAGCTTTAGCTGTATCTGTGGCTTCATGGTGTGACTGCTTTGAAAAATAAATACTCTTCAATAATAACCCCTCTCAGTGGTTCTGTAATAGTACGTGAATAAACAGTGTCAAGCTTACAATATAAGTTGAAAGTAAAAAGACAGCAGGAAGAGGAAATCAAAACACTCATGTATCTCTTGACAACATAATTGCAGCCATTGATTATAAACAAGGAAAGTTTATTTCTCTTGAAATACCATACTTTCAAATACCATTGCTCTGTCATTATGTGAGACTGATAAACATTTTCATTTGCTATTTTCACTTCATGTGGAAAAATGTGGTTTGCTCTGTTAGAGTTTAACAAATATTATTCTAGTAAACTGAAGAGTTGACAAGAGCTTATGTGTAAAATTCCACCTTCCTTACTGTTTCCTTGCTGAATTTTAGAAGTTCTGGTGGACTTCAATGATCCTAGAGGCCTTTGCCAACCTTGAAGACTCTGTGATTGAAAGAAAAGAAAACTGATTAGGATGTGAACTGTGAGGGGGCTGATGTGCATAACCCAAACCCCAGTCAGAGGCTTCCCACTGGCAGCCTGGTGCCAGCCCTGTGCTTGTGAGCTCCAGCTCACAGGCTCCCTTGGAATGCCAAGGTGAATGCTATTCAAAGGAAGTTGCTGGCCCTATCCTAGGGTGCCTCATAAAATCTGGCTAATAGAGGGGCCCAGTAACCACAGTGAAGACAGTGGTGGGGTTCATTAATTTTAGGATTGCTGTGTCTGTAGCTATGGCTTGGCTTGGATCGTCATTCTTCTGATTTATATCATTCCCTACCCCCCCTTTGAGATTTTGCATGGGAATGCCATGGTTTCATAACTGTAAACGTTATTTGTACACAGTGTCTTCCAGTAATTAGCTCCTCTGCCCTTCAGTGCACAGGTAGTGCTTATTAATTGCATTTAATGAGCATCTCTCTCCTGCAGCAAATTGCCCTGCTTTGTTGCACACCTTAGCATGTAGCATAGCTTAGTATGATTTATTCATATAACACACTTGAAGGCACTTAACATCTCTAAGAACATGCCGGAATGCTGACCTTGGCCTTGGGTGTTTATTGGTTTTGGAGACAGCATGCAGTTTCTGGGGGAGGAATTTAAATTGATTACACATAGCCTTAATGTTATCACACCAGAAAAAGAATTCATTTGGATGGGCGCAGCTCTGCTGTGTCTGAAGTGTGGCAGCAAACACAGATGGCAGTTTTTCCTGAGGAATGTGCACAGCCAAGTTGTGGTGTCAGGTAGGAGGGGGGTACCTCAGGACTGGGAGTCTCCAAATTAAAGCAGCCTGCTGACTTCTACCTCATGAAGTACCCCAAAAACATGTGGGATGTGAACTGTAGAAGGCTATCACGCTGCTCCAGTACCCTGCTCTTGGGTCAGTGCATCTTCCTTGCATCGCTCCCCTCGTTTCACAGAAGTGTGTGCGTGGTGAGTGGGAATATGGCACTGGAGTGGCCAGCAAGAAAGATTTCCAGCAGCATCCATGTCCATAATAATGTCCTAGTTCTCCCTCATTCCATTAAGGTATTACATATGGGGTTCCACCTTTATGCATGGTTGATACAGCTTAGGATCATTTCTGTTGGAATGCCAAAGACCTGAGCTGTGATCTTGCTTTTTCATCCAACTGGCACCCTCTGCCCATGAACTGAAAATCACTGCTTGGGAATAATTCCATTTGGGGCTTAAATTAGTGTTTGCTGTCATGGCAGTAATTTTGGACACTACAACAGAACCCAGAAGAGAAAGTCAGCTGAGAAAATGAGTGCAGTTTTTAGTATGAATACAGAAAATTATTTGAATTATTTGCTGTAATGTAATGAGTAAATGCTGAAGATGGGGTCCTCTGTGCTGTGGTGCTTCCTGCTGCTTCTCAAATTCATGTGTGTAAAGTCTGGCATAAGATGTACACATTGAAGTCAAATGTGTACAAATCTGCATGTGATATGCACAAATCCAGATTTGGGGTTTTGGAAGAGGCAGGATTGCAAGGTGGGGTTGTAGCAAAAAATTCACTTAAACCAGTTTCATATCAATCAAGTTGGGCTATATAATTTGCTTCACATTTCCCTGGGTGACACAGTCTTCCAGTCAGCTGAATCAAGCTTTCATTTCTCTGTTTTCATCTCCTTCCTCACTTCCTTTCTAAGTAGTAGAAAACCTTTAAAAATGTTGGTTTTTTTAGGCACTCAAAACCTTGAAGAAGGTCCCTTGGCAAGCTGATTGTCTATTGAAAAGCAGAATGACTCATAATTCATAGGCAAGAGTCATTTTATAAAAGTTTCTTTTTTTATTTCTAAAAGATCAAGGGGAAAGATCAAGATTTCTGAAACAGAGTCTTTTCTGCACATGGCCTCTCTTGAAGGGATGTTCCCCAAATTCCCACTATATCCCACCTGAACCTTTTTGTTGCTCCATGCAATAGTGACCTTCCAGCACAAATTACAGGTTTTGTGCCTCAGTCTTGCTTAATATACATCTGCCCAGCACCACACAAAATATGCATGAAAATTTGGCATTGGGCAATGAGAGATTTACTACATGGTAGGTATTTCAAAATCACAGTTCCTTTCTCTCCAGCAAGCAAGAAAGGGATTTTTGTCCACTGGTTTGTTCTCAAATTGCACCACCTCTTTCCAAAGGGAGATTTTTCTCTGGAGTTACCATGTTCTTCCTTAGGCTAGCTTGAAATTTTCCTTTATTGGAATATTTCCTTTATATTAGAGCTGTATATGAGAAATAGCTTGATAGAAAAGAAACATTTTATTTCATTTCCCTCATCTTTCATTTCC